AGAAGGCATTCCTGAGACTAGACAACCCTTGTGTCTCGTCAATCCAACAGGCCTCGCATTCCTCATGTACGTAATAGCGCGTCAAAAAAGTACCCTGAGCCTCATTTTTAACCATCGACACGTTCCCCACATGCCCGTATATATCCTCGTTCAACCACAGACTCCCACAGCTGAAGTAGGCGGTCGTATTTCACTGGCTAATACCTTTAACGACTGTGCACATAAATGGCTAAAAGTACAGGATGGTTATCGTGAATTTGTTTCTTTGCGGTGGTCTCAGAGACATTCCAGATCTCCGTATTTCGGAAATTTAATGATTCCGCTGCTGCATATGCTGGACTTTATAAGAGACAGGTGTTGACCATATCCGCTTGATGCTAAACCTCTAATGCATTTTAGGCAAATCTTACGTCAGAAAAACGCGTTTTGAGCAGCTTTTTTTGCTTGAATAAATATTATATGGTATTATAGACCATTAAGCATTTAAGGACTGTATCTCCTGAACATTTGAAGTTAATATTGTATACTGTTCTATTATAGAAAGGGCCGAATTAAAGTTTTTCCCTTAAATACCTCACACACCTTATTTACTTATTTTTGCGCGAGAAATGGCGCTTATTTGAGCACTTGGGTCTTTCGGAAAAGGTGTCCTATCTGATGGGTGACAACCGTGACATTCATGATTTTTAAAATTTCGATTCTGCTAGTTTTGTGAATTCTGGACAGGTTTGACGTTATACAGTTTTGAAAATGAAATCTGAAATGAGAAACATAATGAAGCTTAACTAACCTGCTTGAACAGAGAAATGTTTTAGAGGCATTTTCCAAGCATTTCAGCGAGTTTTTGCAGTTATTTTTCCCTGTTATTGAATATCATTGACGTCATCGACACTCGTTCGTCTTTAAGAAATTATGACGACTTAGTGAATTTCGTTTTAGACTCGCAAACTTTGACTCTATCGGGCAGATGACAGCTCTGAGTTTGACGCTTCGACTTTTTCCTATGACGTATCGTGTTATTTGTAAATAAGGTAGCTTTGTTTAATAAAAATTTTCGTCATAGCAATGGAAATATATGTACAGTATAAAGATTGAAAACGTTCGAGAAGGAATTTAATGAATGCGTTTGAATTTAATTAGCAATACCTTGGTATCACTATCATAATTTTTACTCTGGTATCCTCAAACGTCCATCTCAATTCAAATGACCATTAAAGTTGCGATTTTGATTACTGTACAAGAAACTATTTTGCATGATTTTTTTTAATGGATTTTCAAACGTCCGTTACGGAGTTTGACGAGGCGTAAACTCGATCGTCCGTCCTCCGACCATCAGAAGATTAGTACGGTATTCATTTTTGTGATCCTCTTCGAAATTTGTCAATAAAAATGGCAACAACTTGGCATATATCTTCGGACACGTTTACTTTGTGTGTCACTTCGTGATCACCATTTTTCAAGCAGCCGACCTGCGAGAAGTTGCGGTCCGAGAAACAGTTTTCTAGCTGAGGATCAGCAACCTGCGGTACTGATGCTGTGGCGTCTCTTGCGGTCATTCGTTATAATACGCACTCATATTTCAATTCCTCTATTTGTTATTTCAAGAAAGAGAAGAAAAAACAATCTGGCATTATATAGGAAGCTGGATTGAGAATTTGTCATTCGAAGATTTGTCTATCCATTTTAAGTCTTTGAAATATTGACCCGCAATTCGACTATTGCGAGACCGTCCATCACGTTTGACGGCTTTTGCCGTTCGGGCTCTGAATAATGGAGAGCTCTTCATGCCATCTCAAAAAAGGTACAATGCGAAGACAGTACTGCATTTCAAATTAATTACTGTACTATGCTGTTTTTTTCGTCCAATTTATTCAATTTGTGCCGAGTTTACGTTGATTTTCTTCATGAGCGTTTTTGCATCAAAGGGATGGACGGAAATTGTCGCATTCAAAACGTGGTGGATATGAATCAAGCTATGCCTTGAGAGTGACGTGAATCGGAAACGTTCCTCGAAAAATTCCCTGAAGCCAATTTTATTCGAGAGATTCGTTCAAAGAGCCATAATAACTCTCATAAAGAAACGAAAGAAGAAAGCGATTCGTACGTGAAACGCCTACTTTAATATGTTTTTTTCTGTTCTTCTCCTCTTTTCAGACTTGGCGAATGATTTGGACTTCATTGACGAAAACGAAATGGTTTTGCGGATGCTGGACGACCTCATGATGACGTACAAGTATGGTTACGTGCCGAAATGCAGCCAATACCACATTTGCAAATTGAACAAAGCTGCAGCCTATGGCGGTGGAACCCATTCAACTGTTATTCCGTTGGTCAGGTCAGTATTATACCGAGTAAAGCCTAATTTCATCGTACTTACGGCACTTTTCATGAGCTGTGTCATGTGTGATGTGTCGAGCAATATTGCTGGAAGAATTCGTCATCCTCGCGCCGACGACGCGAGACTGCCAATAATTGTGACATGGAAGACGACTGAAATGTTTCTTGAAGAAAATTTTTTTACTCTGTTTTCTAAAGTTTAGCAATTACTCCTTGAATTAGATGCAGCCTGCTAATTGCACATGTGCTCTCATTCTTACAAATGAAAGAAAGTCTCGTTAAAAATTAAAATTTTTACCTTCCGCCGGTTTGCGATTAAACCTTTGGTCATTATTGCCTTAGCCTTAAAGCTTCATGAACGCTGTTTAAATATCATAAGCCCTACTCCATATACAGGTGGACTCTCTCTAGGATGATTTTGTCTAAAAATATTTTTTCTGCATAATTTTTTTTTCTTGTCCCCTTTGAATTTATTTCTACAAAGAGTCCACATGAATAAGCCATAATTTAATTGCATAAGGATGACATCCTAAATTTTCTTGGTAACCTGCTCATTTGGATTTTAAAATTGCTCTGTTTTCTAATTCGTTCATCGTTGAATTAAAGTAGCGAAGAAAAGCACCCCGATCTATATCGAATCTCTTCTCTACTTCACGGGTCATGTACGGTATGTAACATCTCGTATATTAGGAAAAAACATGTAGATGTCGCTCTCTGTTATTGAAAAACCTGTTGGCGATATTCCGTGAGAATTATGTCGTTTTTGTCTTCAGATAATGCCGAGTTCATATTTGAATGCGACCTGGGTTAGGATTATGACGCAATTTGAGATGCGTATTTGTTATGTAACTCCAACAGTGTACGTGCATTAGTCACCCTCCCTTGATGCCCCTCGATTGCTTTTTTTTAAATCATGAGGTATTATCGAAGCACTTCGGGCACGATTATTGATCTTCAGTCAAAAGTGTGTCTGACTTTATCGCCAAATTTAGAAGGGTTGTAAATAATTTCGTTTTCATTTTTGCAGTTTGCCAGCAGCTTGGATTCTCGGGAAACCGACCAGCAACGTCATGGATTTTCTGCACGCCGTCTGGTTGGGACGTAATGAAAAGGACTGCGACGATGCGTTTCCCGAGTGCAGTAGAAGCCAGGTTTTTGGTACGGAGACCGGCGGAAATTCAACCATTATCGACTCGGAACCCGACGCCAATAACCCGGATGACATACTCGCAAGCATCAGATACTTGGAAGACGGCACTAACGCCCCTGGCGGACTGCCTGTGGCAACGCCCAGCTCGCCGCCAGAGGTCGCTGCCTAGCGCGCGGGTTTTGTGAATACAGTGATTAGATGTCGCGACTGGTAGCCGAACCTTGACCGCGGTTTCAAACCGAGGCTTCTCTTGTTTTGTTTTGTTTGATCATCGCCACGACGCCCCCAAAGGGATGTGGAAAAAAACAGTTGTTTATTTATTGCACATTTGAGCGTTTCCAGCCCGGGTTTCGAAACCTCGGCCAATGTTCGGTGAAGTGCGACTGTTATACCATGTGTGGCAAAGTTACTGACTAGTTTGAAATGCTCATGGAAACTCATCTGCAGCTTTATTCTCGAGTGCGTTTCTCAGTGTTTCTTATTTACGTAAAATAAAGTTTGAAATTTGCGTTATACTCAAGTATTTGACCACTTTGATGGCATCCTTAGAACGGGAAAACATTAAGTATTCCTCGAGAAGTGCGTAGGACTCAGGTCGGCTGCCATATTATTTTATTCGCTGACGAGCCAAAGTTGAACGTATTTTGTTTTTGTTGTTATCGTGGTGTTCCTCTTCAATTGTTGTATTGTTTAAATTGTTGATTTGGTCCTTCTATCAGACTTTTCGGCTCAACAGTTTTGGCTCCATTTATTGGTTACCCGGAGCATTTCACGTCGTTTATTCTTCCGAAACCACGTGTAGTTTCTTTCGGAGAGAAGGAAAATGAAAGCATTTTTTTGAGTTAACGGTGGTGTTTTTCTCTTCTTTCTGTTATGTTTATTGTGCTGCATTGGCTTACTAGAGTTATGAGCTGAGTAAAAATGTCTAGCTTTGTTTCCATGCATCGTCACTTGAAAAGCAGCAGATGGCGCACTTCAAAATGAGATACAGAATTTTTTTTAAACTGCATAGCTTCGAATGAAATACTGTAGTATACCGAGAAACGATGATTGAAATGGTTTGTCCTACCTCAAATTCTGAGAAGACGATAAAGATTTCCTGTAGTACTTCACAGCCGATTACATTCGTCTACTTTTGAATACGTCTCTATCGAGTGGATCAATCCAATGCTGTTTCAGTTTCAAAACACAAAACCGAAATCAATCTCATGATATTGAGAACCTGATTGCAGGATCAAATGCAAGTTGAATTTAAAGAAATTTATAACTTCTCAACAGAAATTCGTGCATTATCAAAGTCAGACCACAATTTTCGTATTCTGCTTGTATTTAATTTATGTAATTTAGGAATACAGTACTGTAAACTCTTAAGGCCTGGTGTAATCGTGACAGTAATACTGCTTAAGTTCTGTCATATTTCCAGGGAAATTCCGTGTGCTGTTCAGCGCACGTATACATATATCGCAGCATTTTCTGAGTCGTCGGTTTAATTAATATGGAATCAAGCACTGGCCTGTTTTCAAAAAATAACTACTACATTTCTTTGCCTGTTTGTGACGAATTCGGAAGGATTTGGAGGATTCTTATTTATGCTCTTGGAGTGTCTTCATGTCGCACCAAAACCCTGTCGACGATGTGGACGACCCCGTTGGAAGCCTCCAAATCCGTGGTAACAATTTGACCGAGTTCTGTGCTGTCATCATCGAAGACGACTATGCGACCTAATCAGAGATGAAAAAAAAAGAAATATTATTTTACCCAGTATAATTTTAAAAAATTCGTTCCTTCGCGTTTCCGGATAGAGAATTTATTTACTATAGTACAGTACATAAACCACTACTATAAAGCACCATCCAATGTAAGTCGTGTACTGTATTTATACAACCTTCTGTACATCAGCCTTTAAAATTTCAACAATTTTCCCTGCGATCCAAGGTAAGATTGTATTACGTTAAAGTTTTCAAGGATCAGATGAGACATCGGTTCTACCGAGTGCACATTTTTTTGGCACATGCTCCATCTCTCAAGAACTTCAGATGCCAAAAAAATCAAGATAAAGCATTAACTTGGTTTCTCGTACACTCAATAAAAGGTATGGATTTTATTATTAATTTTAATTGAATACAATGATTATTTTCAAAAAGTGGAGTGCAGGTTAATTCTTGCGAGATAAAGGAGCACTCTATTCAACAAACTTGTTTTGCTGCATGTATTCATTTAAATTCAAAGAGAGACTTGAATATTGGATGGAATGATGAAGTTCTTACCAGAAAGACTTTGTTTTGTTCGTAGTCGTACCCAGGAGGGGATACTCAAACATATTGTCAAGTCTAGATACTCTGGAAAAATGTTCAAATTTAAATAGGGGTTGAAACAAAGCCTGAGATATTAGACGTCATCGAATATTTCACCCACGACTACGAGTGGACATCAGACATCAAAATGATCAGAATTTTGTACACCAAGTTTTGCAACAAATGCTTCTGTTTTTTTAAATGTAAGAAACATGGTATTAGAAGTTTACGAACCTCCATCACGATGAGCTATGACAAGGATTTCCTCGGACATTGTGGGCACTGGCTGGATATTGTCCAACATTTCAAAAGTGTATGGCTCAGAAAGGACGTGACGTTTGAACCTGTCGATGTGTTTGGCTTTGTCAGGATCGGCTGCGATTTCGGCTTGCCATTGTGACACTTCGATGTCGTTCGAAATCGCCAGAACTGTTATGTCTTGCACTGTCAAGATTTCAGATGTCAAACTTTTTTTTCAACTGGTAATTGAAATAAAACTGGAGTTAAAAATTAACACCGCTTACCAAAGAATAAACTATTATTTTACAAAAAAACATATTTTCGATCACAAATTTTCTAATTACTTTTTATACAAGTAAAACACTCCCAAAAAAAATAAAACTGGCCTGGACGTCTTAATTCGGTGTTTGAGATAATAAAAAAAGTACAGTGCCGTCAAGCTTCGTGTAAATTGTCCAGGGAAATCAGGACCATTATTTTGAACATCATTGGTATGACTGAGGATCAAATTTTGAAAATACATTTTGCTTCAAAAAATGGAAAGATCTTCTCTCAAAATCGTGTTCTATTCAATTCCGTTTTTCACAGTAAAAAAAAATAGCGGCGACAGAATAGCTTAAAATCCAACGTTTCATTCTCGACGAGGAATGATGAAAATTTTTCATTAAAATTGAAAACTTCAGTGTGGATGTTTTTAAGCTGATGAATCTCTGGGACAATATGATTATTGTACGCTTACAATTGAAAAGATCTTGCACTTCCAGGGTAGTCGCAATTTCCATGAACTTCTGCAAGGATTCCTGTCCACTGATGACTTCTCCTATCCCTTGAGCGTCCACCAGGGCTTTCTTTTTCAACTAAAATCAGTAAAAGCATTTTTTTTTTTATTTTCAAGAAAGAAAGAAATTCAAATAACTTCATTTCGAGAACGAGGGAGAGACAAAGAGCAAAACGCGACAACAGCAAGGAAAACAGTCTTGCACCGTTAGGAAAAAAAGGTGTTGGGGGAAAAATCTCATCAGTGTCTTCGTTTTCTCACCGAGATAACATCAGGGAACGCAACACCCAACACTAAAGTGCTGAATATACAAGACGACAAACGCATTTTTAACCGACGATAATTTTTCTCAGAACCGCTGCGTGATACGATGTGTTTGAAAAGCAATTGCCAGTATATTATGTATTATTTTCGTTCCGTTCCCTGGATCTTGGAGCTGGGTATGGGATTGCGCCATTCCGGCTGTTATCAGCATCGGGAGCATCATTTATTGCACTTAAAGCGTGGGAAAACAAAGAGTGGCGATAAGTTGTACTTTTTTGCTTTGTTTTTATATATCTTCAGGAAAATTCCCCAATGGAGGCCTGAGGGCCGGGAAAGCCCGTCATTAAACTTCTTATACAGCGTTGGATGAGGAATGAGCGCAGCCCTTCTTTTGTTTTGGTGGGATTGAGTTTCAAAGGGTTGCCCCGGAAGTGTGACAATAAATTTTGATTTGGTTTTCTGCTGGTGATCCCAAGATTTAATTACAATTGAACCCCTATACGTGCAGATCATTCAACTTACGGACACATTAAACTCAAAAAATCATTTCAAACATTTGAACAACGTCGCGAAACATGGATGTTTTGTCAACTTTTCCAGAAGAAAAAAAATGAAATATTATTTTTTAAATCTTGATATTTCTTCAGCAAATTGGAAATGATGTAAAAATAAAAATCAATATAAATTTACTTCAATTAATTTGAATATTGGCCGATTTTGTGATTCTTTTCAAGGGAGCGGGGGTTTCTCAAAAGTCAAAACTGTGCACATTAAATGAAAATTTATATGCTTGTTTTCTGCCTTTTGTACTATTTTTAATGACAAAAGGGCTGATCCTATGTGGATTTTCTACAGCACAGTTATTTGCTGTCTTTAGCTGTCTTTAATCTACGGTACTTAGAAGCTTGAAATGCTTTAAAAAGGACTGTGCTTATTCAGCATTTGTAATATTTATCTGCATGCTATGGAAGTGAGTGTTCACATCGTTTTGGAGTATAAAAGAACCTCTTGGGCGATTACAGAAAAGAATTCCTTGGTACTCATCTCTAAAAAAAATTTTGAGGAAAGCTTTCAGAATGCAAGGGACATTCGATGTCTTCTGAAGCATTATAATTTCAAGCATAAATTTCAGGAAAGCAGATTTCATGATGACGCTTTTGACCGAGCCCTTGCAAGTAAATTGTATGCTCTGACGCCGGAAGTGGTTTCAACAGACAGTCTGAGAAAAAAGTTCATATAATTCTGGCTGAATCTCTTCACGTTTCCTCTTGAGAAAAAAAAAATCCCACATAGATTCTTAAAGATGTTCTTGAATTACTTTCGTGGAATCTTTCAGCCTGATGAGTCACTCTGATGAATGGCGGTTTTTTTTTCTAAAAGTCAAGGTTGAAGATCGAAGTCGTAAGTGATAATCTTTGTGTGGTCGTGAAGTACTCGTGAAAGCATTTTACTGTTGTCATACACTATTTTTTGTGTCCTTATAAGAGCTCCTAAAAGTTGCTGCCTGGGAGAAACATTAATTAGACGTTTTACAATCACGATTGTCCAAATCTGGATCTCAGCTACTGTATCTTGCATACATAACGAAAAGATACCGACCCATAAATACAGCCTTCTTACGTAAAGAAAACGTACGTGAAGTAAGTCTTACGTAAAGAATTTTATTTGGATTAGAGATAGCTTATATTCATCGGTTGTATATTTTCGGTTGTAAAAAGCGGGTTACTCATTATCTTAAAATGCGAGATAAAATTCATAAATTTCGGTTTAAAAATTGTGTACAGCATTTGCATATAGCATTGAATATTTGGCCTGCAGAGAAATTAAATAAAATGTGCTAGATCTAGAACATTTCAAAAATGCCCGTATAATTAAATTTAAAGTGTTTTGAGACCCATTTAAATCCTAGTTCCGAGGGAATCTGAAGATCCGGAGAAAATTACGTTTAAACAAACAGTGTGCATGAGTACAGTATTTTCGTTTTTCGTGAAAAACATGAAGGACATTGAAGTGCGGAAAATCACAGAATAAAGGTTTCATTTGCTTCAAAGCAGAAGTGGGTATTAGGAGGCAAATTCAGCACCGCGACTTGAATTTTATTTATTGGTAGAAAATTTGTCAGTCATTGGGTGAATCATGGTCCACTATCCGAAGCAAGCAACGGTCGTGAGCCAAGCTTGCCATAAAAAAAATTATTTTAACCAGGATTCCACTTGAGATGAAAAAGTTGCATTTGTGCAACACAGCCCTTTATTTTATTTTCAATTAGAATCTCGCGAGAAACGGTTCCATGAAATACCCAATAAAAATACAGTACAGGAAGTATCGTAGAATATTATTTTCATGCACGGAAATTTAAAATACTACTTCTTGATCCCACTGCTACTGAAATGGAGGACAAACGCGTTCTCGAGACAACTTCACAGTCTCAGAAAAAAATAAAAGCTCGCAAAATTAAGTCACATTCATCTCACCAGGTTTCTCCACGAATAATAGTGCATAAAATGCGACTCACGTCTTTCCTGGGTCTCGTGGGTTTCCTCCTGCTCGTCTTGGTCTTGGGATGCTGGTTCCTGTGGTAAGGCGAAGCGTCGGGTTGTCGGCGCCGGGCCGCCCAACCGTCTCTTCGAGGCGGCGCTGTTCCGCCGACACTGGGCGCCTTAACAAACTGGTTTTGCCCGCTCGAAAGACCCGATGACGGAGAAACCTGGTTACTTCCTTCTTCTGACGTCACTACCTGCGTCGCCGAACCATCAGGCAGAGCAAACAAACAAACAATGAAAAAAGCTATAAATTAACCAACGTACAGTACATATAAAGCCACGTAAGACAGCTGACAGGGTTCAAATTACAGCTCACACCGAGTGGTCTCATGTTGAAGTTACGTATATGCGAACAAGTGCGATGGAAACAGCCGCCGGAGATTTTTATTTACGTTACATGAACATGCAGGAGGTGTTGATGATGAGTCGTTACGGGAACTTGAGTTCAAATCGGTATATGCAGCACGTTCCAGCTTGCTTGAATTTTTTTGTTTTTCTTTTTATGGCGAATGGATTTGATGTACCTTCAGAATCCGATACTTGTTTAGCGCAGCAATTGCATTGCAATTTAACTTTCTGTCATTAAAAACCCGTGATCGTTTAACTCAAAACGAAAAAAATATACAGCTGGAGTAGCCTAAAAAAATAGGAAGCACTTTGATCACAGCGTCAGAATTTAAGGCATCATTTATTTGAATCATGTTTCAGATACCATATAGTCCAATATCCTCTCATTTCTATTATAATGTCAGGGTTCTGACTGTGTTTCTTGCAAGCTTGTGATATTGTAAGGATTTTTGTCATCGAATGCAACCTCGCACTTCATCTGTGAATTCATGATGAACCGCCAAATATAAGATTGAATTTTATTTTGAAATTCGGACAACAGTTTTTGTATCATACAGTATCCGTGTTCATGCGATAGTCGGATGATGTGTAAAGCTGTTTAATCATCCAGTATGTTCAAATGGATTGCATTGCAAGGTCTTACAATTCTTGAAAATTTTGAGTTAGTTTTCATTATTTGTTACAATTTGAACGTGAAAGGTATAAACCGAAGATAATTTTGATAAATCACATATGCTGATGTCGTATACAGGAACCATGTCATCGATGACATGATTATTTTTTATTTTTAAGCTGTAATATTTCGTAGGAATTTTAGCGAGCTGCATTCATTTTTCACATTGTTTTTCAAGTGTTTCGCAGCCGAAATATTGGGAAAAATTTCACGCCACGTGGATTTCATATTAATTTTTCCTTTGACTCTTTTTTTAGTACATAAAGACGAGGACGATGTTGGATTTTTTTATGCTTTACAGGCAGTTTCCGGAAGCATGCCTTTAAAAAAATATATGAAATATGATTTTACGCTAGACTGTTCGAGAATTTTCTAAATAAAGCTACTTTTCATGTGAGATCGACAATGCTTGGCAAAGAATGAAACAAAAGATCTTTAACTTTTTTCTCGTGACAAGAATGTGCATTTATATATGAAAAGAAAGAGTCCCTGTATTCGTGAGAATGATATTCATCTTGACTTTTTTTTTTAAATAATATTTATATAAACTTAATTTTTTACAGAATTTTAATTAACGAAACTTTTTTCTCATTCTAGCTGTTGCAATTTAAATCTTAATCTAGGCGTTGAGTTTCCTTCAACTTTTGCTACCGGACTCATATGGTAACGTTACGGCGTAGTTAAGATTTCACCATGCGTAAATTCATTGAATAAATCTAAAAGAAACTTGTTCCAGGGATGAGTATAAAGAAACCACGAAGAAGGAAACTCGGTCTAAGCGTCATAATAAGGAATTACGTAATGGAGTTTCACCTGGAGTAGAAATGCGACGAAGACGACGATGAAGGTGAACAGAAGTTTCCCAAGGTACAGCGAGTTCATTTCGCTGACAGGTGGCGATTCACGTTTCGTTTTTTTGTTATACACTATATATTTTTCCTTTTCTTTTTTTTTTATGTTACTCGATGAAAATATAGGCGAATGAATGAATGAATGAATGAATTTCTGCGGCGAGCGAGTTACGTGTTCGAACTAAAACTGGCGAGGGAATTTTCTTTGAAATCCTCGCGACTTTAAGGTCGTGCTTCACGCGGAGGAACTCAATTTTTCTTCTCGCCAGGAATTATACAGGGTCGTAATCCAAAAAAGGAAGCCTCAATTTTGCTTTGAAATGTGCAGGGATATTTTAATGAACCATTTGCGAAAGATTTCTGGACGCGTCAATTGAATTTAAAAGATACTGCACCCACTTTCAGAACTATTTCAGACGTGTCTTCGAAGTATAGATGGAATTTTTCTTGCACGGAGAAAACGTTCCCTTAAGATTTAAGATAAAGGGCATGTTTTGCAACGCGATTTTTTTTAAGCCTTTTAAAGCAAATGCGTTAAAATTTTACCTAAAAAGCGCTTGGATTTTTCAAGTGCTTCAATTGACTGCTTACGTAAACATTTATTAACTTGAATCAGATTTGGCATTTCTATAAGTAGCAAAGTTAACAACACGAATTTAAAGCGTTTCTCTATTGTGCTGAATTTGTTTTCTGAAATTAGCAAAATAAGCTTTGCCCCAAAAATGCCATGGAAAATTGTTTAGCCCAATGAAGGGGTTATGCTTTGAATTTTTCCGTATGTTTCCGCATTTTCTTGAGGGAAAATCTAAAATTTTGCCTCACGCTTTCATGGATATTATAAAATTTTCTCGCCGTCGTTTTTGATAAAAACTTAAAACATCTAATTCCCCCTTTTGTGTCTCATGCAAGTCCGTTTAACGTGATTTTGGTAACGTTTTATGACCTGTTCTGTAATTTATGCCAGTTCCTCGTTCATCTTTTTATTAAATGACACGGTTTCTTGGACGAAAAATTTGGTTACTGTTTACTACAGATTAATGTAAATAATTTTGCAATCTGTAAAATGCTTGACTTTTTTTAATCCAGAATTTTTTCCTTTTTTCCAAAATCGGATGTGAGGCACTTCCGGAAGTTAAACTTCAGGTTTCTTGGAATCCTTGATGTATGATGGAATTATTTCGTGACGAAAATGTCTTTCATTCCGAAGCTCGAGTAGCGTTTCTAAATAAGGTAAGCGTTCGAAATATCTCTCATTTTTCATTTCCAAAAGACAAAGAGACTCGCTCAAGGACCAAAAGGTCATTTAAAACGATATAGTGCAACTACTCGCCGCGATGAATGCCGCTTAACTGCGTTTATACAACGAAGTAATTTGTTCCCACGATTTTTTTCTTAATCGAAACGATGAAACCAAATTGGTGTTGCTGTTGATTAGGTCACCTGTGTATGCTTTTGAGGCAGCTATAGGGGAATGCAAACCACGGTTTCGCAAGAACCCACGTGAGACCTTGTTGTTCCCACGGATGAAGTTCTGATGGACGTGCGAATGACGCCCGTGTCGATTTTTCAGCCTTCGTTGAAAAACTCCTGCCAGCACAAGTTATCATTTTTTTTCCTCTTGAGAAAGGGCAAAACTTTATTTGTGTATGTGTGTGTGTGTGTACCCATGGCACTGGGAGTAAAAGCCTTCGGGTTTTTTTTATACTTTAGTTTTTGTTTCTGTTTTCTCAAACCGAACGTTTACGTTTATGGCTTTTTAAATAGCTGTTTATAGAAAACTGAGCTTTTTGCCGAAGCACTAGGAGTTCAAAAGCAACAGGTGCTTGAAGGGTGTTGCAGCAGGTCGTTTTATTTATTTTCTACGAGAAGAAAACACTGATATTTTTATTATTCAAAAGCCGATTCGAGAGTGACTTATGTTGCAACACATGGGTTTTTAAATTCTTGGGATTCGCCGGGATAATTTGAATGCCGTTTAGGTTTGTTTTACATCAGACCGTGTGAAATTAGGATACACAGTTTTCTGACCAGAAATATCATTTTTATTTTCCGGCATTCCTGCAGCCAATAATAAGTATGTTGAAAATTTTTAAAATAGCTTTTATATAGCTTTTAAAATAGCTTGTATTGTACGCATATTGCTGTAAGAGTACTGCACATGATGAAAAAAACTTTATTTTTTCTTCGACTGCCCCAAAATATAAGATCTGTAAGACAGTTCATGGGAAATTTCTTGTTTTTGTTTCTTCTTCAAATTGATGCGTGCTGCTAATAGTCACATCTATGAAGTTATTAATATTGACTCAAAAGTGATTCAATCATGTATGTTCACTTTTCAATGGGATAAATTTGAACCATAATTCAGAAAATTCTGCGGAGCTATAGTCCAGACTTATATTTTTGTCTCACCTTTGATTCTGCATATAGTAAGCATTTGTGCATCATGAGCAGACCCTTTTTGTTTCAATTCATATTTGCACAGATAAATCCGCCTTTTTTTAGTGTAGCATAACCCGTGACGCACTCAATCAAAGAGGTTTTCTGCGCGTGTGTAAATTTTCCAAGTACTTTACGTGCTTGCTTAAAATTTCCTTAGATCAAAAGAGGAAGAAAAAAAAATACTGCGTGTATCTCCTTTAAATTATAAATGGTCATACACCTAAGATTTTTTTGTTTTATTCTTGTTTTCTTCACGCAAGGAAGCTTCCGAGCGATTTGCGGCGTTCGGTAGCACTTCTCTGGGAATAATGCGTAACAACAGTGGACAATGGTTGGTCGACCTTGATGCCGGTGATACAATGAGGCACTCTCACTTTCCTGTCACGAAATCTTACATAAGCACTTTTTTTCGGAAGATTCCATGGCCCTGAATGCCTCGAGTTTTTTCCTTGATACTAAATGTGTCTCTATGCCAGAAGAATGTTCGTCTAAAAAAAATGATCACGTGTATATGCAGGATGATTGATAAGAGACCAGCAATCCACAGTTACAGAAATGAGTTTTAAAAAGATTTGGGACTCTTTAAATTTGATATAAAGTGTCTTTCCAAAATCTTAAAGGGCCAAGATAAACTGTTTGCAATTTATCCTCAAAGATTCTCTACAAATCGTTCAATCGACTAAAACTTATCCGGGAGAAGGCTGAACGCCTTGTGCTTTGATTTGTGTTTGTCACTTGCATTATGATTTAATTGTTATTACTGATATTTTCTTTTTGCAATTTAGTGAGGGGAACAAGGTTTAAGCATTTACATCAGTTGTGCATTTGTACATTTTGTGATGTATTTTCCTTTTCTTCAACACCCATAAACAGCTCATTTCTCTATTTTCATTGGGATGTGATGGAATGTGTTTGGATGAATGTAGGTGGGGAGTTTGGATGTAGGAATATTGTTTGAACCTTGTGAATGCTGATAAGCAGAAAATGAAGTTTGTTCATCAGTCAATCAATGATAGACTTGCCATGCTTTTGCAATTTCGTGGTCCACATGTACCATTTCTTATTTCTTGAATTTAATCTGGCAATTTAGAAGAAGTCTACTTCATCATATTATGCAGAGATTAAGTGACTTCATGATGTGAAATGTACACCGTGGTTCCAGTTAGTTGCATAAAATATGATACGCACTTAGTCAAGAAATTGTTTTTCAAAGGTCTTTGGTTTGTTTGCAAGTTCTCATCTGCTTCTCCTCAGTCCAAAGTGCAAAAATGCGCCAGCCGGTTTTGACACGTTGTTGCGCCTGATTCATGAACTGCGTGTCATGTTTTGCGCAGCTCTATCAAGTTTCTTTTCTTCCGTTTGTCAAGAAAGATATTTTAAGGCTCTCTGTTTTTTTCCAAATAATAGTCTACGGGCTTTTATTCTTTGTTTTTTTTTTAAATATGGAAATGCATTTTGAAAAATAACCCCATCAAGAGCTTTGTGATTGAATCTGCGCGAGAGCTCGCATGAGTCATTGAAGTGTGTCTTTTTCATCAGTGCCACAGAGTTTGTGTTGAATAAAACATTTATAGAAGCATTAAAACCCAGCAATTGAACTTCTTGCTGAGATTTGCTTTTCGATGTACATTGCCTGCACTGGATTAATATCTTGGTCAAGTTGCTGCATTCGTGTTCTTGGGTGTGGCGGAACGCCAAGTTCAGTATTTTTCACACCTTCGTGGCAAATCTTTATTTTTCAAGCGGTGGAAAGTAATGGAACCTTTGAATAATTTACGGTCCAATAAATAATTGTTCACTCCAATCAATTCGAATATTCGCTCCATACCTTTTTCCAGAAAATCACAGATACTGTAATATATAATCCAATAATGCATCAACGGTTTTTTGTACAAAAGCTTCTTGTAAAAAATAAAAAATAAATCAGATGATATATTCATGACATTCTCGGAAATCTTGATGAGAAATTATGAATATATTTACCGAACATCTCACTGAAATAATGTGGCACAAAAATTCTGCTTTGATTTCCGTCAAATCTTTGAAAATCAAAGCACAATTGAATCGAATATTGTACGTGATTGATTGAAACCAGGATATGCATCGTTACATTGTGCTTTTCGGTGTGATGGTAAAGTTTCTGCTCAAAAATTTGATCAACCGTTAAAAAAAAAACATAATAGTCCTGAAATTTTCGGAAGCTCGAACGGCGGTTTCATGATATGTACAGTAATAATAGTAGAAATAAAAGTGAAATAAAGAAAGTTATAATGTAAACCGTTTCGAGTTTTTTCAATCAATTGCGAATTTACGCCCAATTAATCGAATGCGCGGTTTAAAAAAAGTTTGTATATTCGTCGTTTCGGAGGAATGGTTGAATTCTGTACCGAATACGCTATTCAAAAACCTAAAAAAAAATTCAAAAACGGCGAAAAAGACTAATAATCCTCGGAATCTCGGTCATCTGTTGTCAAGATTAATAGAGGAAATCTGAGCGAAATAAGGTTGCTCAAATAGGTCGCTTTGATTTGTCAATCAAAAAAGCATTTTTACAGAGTTAATTTAATGCGCACTTATTCAATCTTTAATACGTACCGCTATACATTATGATTTTCGGAGAAATGGTAAATTCACGTATCAAAGTTTTATTCACCAGCTGTGAAATTTCGAAAATTGAAGGACAGCTAACAAAATACTGTACAGTAATCAGCGGAGATCACGGCAAAATAAAGTGGCTCAAATATTCTTCTACGAATTCTGTCAATAAATTAAACACGGTCAATTAAAGCAAGAATATTCATCTGTAAATTCTGATTTTTA